TTAACCTTATTATTAATTCTATTATTTATTTAAATAATTAGAGCTATGCACTACCAACCCAAAGACTCAAATATCACTACTAACCACCCAAACACCACCAAATGCACATAGAAATAGACTTAAATAATTAAATACACACAATCTCAATTAAAATAAATAAATTATAAAAACTGGGTGTTACACATAGCATACACTCGTATGCAGTCCCACGTCGTCTTCATTACCTCTAGTTTGTTCTGCTCTAAGGAGCTAATCTGTATATACCTTTTTTAGGAATTCAAACTTATCATGAGCCCCTCGGGTTTTTTCCATCTCCCTTAAGACAGTCTCTGGGTCAACTCCTAGATAGTCTACCATCAAAGTCAAGTGCCTCATCTTTGCTAATCCTTCCATTATCTAAAAGCTTCCCCCTAATCGGAAGATGCAGCAGACCCGGTGCATCATCAAGTGTGATAAGCATCTCACCAAGTGGTAGATGAAATGATGAAGTCTCAGTGTGTCATCTCTCCACAAATGCATTAAGCATCCCGTGGTTCACCATAACATAATCGGTATTGCATAAGTCCTTTAATCTAGATAAGGATAAAGCAGTCTGAAACCACTCGTCATTAGGCTGATGCAAGTCAATAATCATGTGCCCATGGTTAATAAACTTCAGCGGATCACGGTCCTGCAGAAAAATAAATTATCGTCAGAAACATGTAATATAATAATAAACTTAATTTAAAAAAGAATGAATCCAACTAATTTTACCTCCTTGTTCTAGATATGTATGGTAGTATGGTCCTGATAAAGAGGCAGCAGTGATAACTCTAACGGGCCTCCTCCAAATACCTGAGGTGGCATTGGCTCATCAGCCTCATAGCCTGAGGTGGAAATGGCTCATCACCCTGAGGTCACTCTGGTGCCTTGGGTGGCACTGGTGCCTCAAATACCTCTAGTGACTTGGGTACCTCTGATGCCTGAATAGGTAAAACCTGTCTCCTACAGGAAGATGGAGGCGAGGATGCGTCACTAAGTGACACCAGTCTCCTACGGAAAGAAAAAGGTGAAGAAGCATGAGCCCTAGAAGTCAACGCCTCCGCATGAACCGGGCTAGAGGGAACATGGGCCTCTGAAACCTGACTTGTTTCCCTTTGGACAGATGCATGTTGTGTAATCCTTTCGTGCCTCAGTTTGTCATCCCTATCAACCATAATGTCTTTAATTAAATCCGACAAGTATCACACGATTACTACAAGCAACCCTACAAGTAAGAAAAGCAACCAAAAAAAACAGACAGACAGATAAACTACTGAGATGCATCTCTGGTTCCTAGGAATCTAAACGTTGAAAAATTATGGAGATGCATCTCCGAAATTTTCTACAACTTTCTTTTTCGTCAATGGTGCTAATGTAGATCACCAAACCTCTAAAAATAATGCATTGATCATTACATTTAACTATCAAACACATTCCTCAAATGTATCAACTATCAAACATGCATAAACTATGTATTTCAATACCTAATCATCAATTTATACAAATTTATACAAAAACTCATTAAAAAATTACAAAAATAAAAAACATACAAATTGTGAGTTTACTTCAGTGTTAAATGAGTTCTTTGATGTACTTGATTGATTGATTTTGAGAGAATGTGAGTTGAAAGAGTTTGAGAAATGTTTAGAGTTGTTTTTTTAAGAAGTGAGGAAGAAGAAGGGGTTTTGGCGCGTTTTAGAACAAATAGTGTTCGGATATGCAACTACGTAATATACACGAAGATGCATCTCCGTATTTTTTTCCAAATTAAGTCAGAATTCTATTAACTTAGGATGCAAAGATGCACGCTGAAATCTGAAGACATTTTTATATTTTCAGTGATGCCCTAATAATATATAGGGTGCATGAAGAAATTTCCTTATTGTTACACTTCAAATTGTTAAAAATATCATAGATAACATATTTGTTTAACTTGTGAGATTTATATATTTCTACTAGGTTCAAATTTTTAATTTCTAAATTTATTTTCTATTTTAAAATTAATTAAATCAACTATTTATCCATTAAAATAACATAATACCAAAAACATCAAAGTGTCCTTGCGTTAATATTATTTACACTTTATTAAGGATTATTACATAATTATCTAATGAATCAATTATTCCATTTCTAAATCAACCATAATTTGACAAGTAGCAAAATTACTTTTCAAATTTCAAATTTTTCTTACATTTTATTTTTACACAATTTCTCATTTTTATTTTAACTTTTTTTATTTCTATTTTCTTAAATACCCATGAATTTTTAGTTGAGTATCGATATTTTAATATAAATTAGTTTAAATTTTTATTTTTTAAAAATAAAATAAAAGAAAAATGTGATGTGACATTAAATACTATTATCGACATCCAATTAAATTCAAGAGTATCATACTGTTCACCATTATTTTATATTATTAATTTATATAAATTTTTCACCGGTCAACTCTGTGCTAATGTAGTGTGAATAAATTTATATAAATCTCCTATCCAATTAACTTTCAACAATAGTATTTATATATGCATTTATACAAACCACGAATTAGCTCTCATGTCCCTTAAATTAATTATGAGTTTTCCTTTAGTCCTTTAATAAAAAATTTACAATATTAGTTATGTTAATATTATTGATTTATTTTGTTAGTTTAACTAAGAAAACGTTAATATTTATCAACGTGGCATGTTAATTATACAATAAGTCAGTAAAAATAATAATAAATAATATAAATTTATTTAAATATCTATATATACATTTTCTGTAAGAAGAAAACACAAATAATTTTAAACTCAAAAAACTAAAAAAAATATATAAAAAAATCATTAATTAATTTAAATAAAAAATTATATAAACAATAACTAACTCAGAAAAACATAAAAATCATAAAAATGCTTCAGAAAAACATAAAAAATTAATTAATTCACATAATTAACTCAAAAAATATTTAAAGTTTTTTTAATTAATTTACAGAAATTGAAATCAAGATCTTATCATCTTCTACATCAGTGAAACAACCCTCCACCAACAGATTCAGACTCATCGAATTTCCTTTCCTCAAACTTTGATTTTCATCTCTGTGAAAATATTCTCTGAAACTTCGATTTTGATTTCTTTACATCTGCATTTTTTGGAGTATTTGCTTCAGCAGTTTTCTTTTTTAGAATATGTTTCTTCTTGTGATGCTTGATCTGTCCCAACCACCCCATCAACCGAACTCCAACACTTCATTTCTGTAACAATCTTAAAAATTTTAAAAATTCAAAACTTGAACACCATAAGTTATTGGATAGAAGAGAAATCATTTCTATAACAATCTTAAAACTTCAAAAAATTCAAAATTTGAACACCATAAGTTATTGCATAGAAGAGAAACAATTTATGTACACACAGAGAATACCCACAATCTCCATAAATTGGTTTGGCAGGCCTTAGAAAACCTTTATAGAATGAGTAGCAATGTCAAAACTTAAATCAAATCTAAAATTTCTTTTTCCTTTCTGCAATAGTTAGCTACAAAGGATTAAATGAATTAAAAAAAAGAGTAAATAAAAAAATCAATACTTTCTAAAATTTCTTTTTTCTTTCTATAAATTTATCACACAAATAAAGGAGTAAATACAAAAATCAATACTTTCTCTTTGAACATTCAAAACTTGAAGTCAAAGCTCCACTCTTAAGAACATTTCCAAATTTTTTAGATTAAATCCGACATTGGTCGAAGCTAACAGAAGAATCCCAACAAACTCGAAATCACCATTGCAACACCAATAATTGAGAAACTTGTTATTGTTTCAAAATTTGCAGAGAAATATCAAAAAGATGAAGATGCTAGAAGGAGTTTGAGCAAGAGTGAAAGAGAGAGGGAGAAGAGAAAAAAATGATGGCTAAGGTTTGGAGAAGATTGTTTTATATATTATAAGAATAAAATTTGTCTAAAATAATATTTAACAAATTAAAATAATTCCATGTCAAATCAAATAATTTAAATTAAAATAGTTTTATTAATAGTTGAAAAAACTAAATAATATGCCATGTCATATTTTAAAAATACTACACAACTGCCATGTAGTTAATTTTTAACGTTTTTTTTATAAAATTTAATAGAAGGCACTCGTTAAGTTAAGAGAAATATTTTAAAGGACCGGAGCATAACATTTTTTAATTTAAAGACTAAATCAAAACAATAAATTAAATTGAAGGATAAAAAAATAAATTAAGCCTATAATAAACTATTGTAGATTTTAGATTTCAAACAAACACATAATAAACTTCAAAAATTAAATGCCAATAGCTATTTACATAATTATTTATTTTAAATTTATGAAATTGCATGATTGATCATTAATATATATTATATATCAAAAGTAAAATTCATTTTTATGATTAGTTATTAATACTCTTAGAGTCTATACATTATAGATGAGATAGATAACTGAATTATCATCTGCATTGCATAAAGAAATCAAGATATATATCTGCAAGCAACAGCAGAAACTAATATTACAAAACATCTGAGATCCGTTTTAAAGTGTTAACCTCAAGAAATATTTTTTTTTATATGCACCAACAAGAAATCAAACTCCCAACCAAATGTTAAGAAATTCGAAAAATATCACACTTGTGCTACACTGTTGATAAAATGATAGTCAAAACCATGACACGTTGCAAGGCTCTCGAACACAAGAATTTACAACTACTACAGTAGAAGGTAGGATTCTATACACTCATGGTTGTACAAGCTCTGCTGCGTGCCCCGTCTTTGCAAAAGCTTTAGCTTCATAAGGATAAGATATACAGAAACTATCGTAATATTCTGTCTACAATGCGAATCACAGGCTATTTATTAGTTAATGTTCACATTGGTTTCAGAACTCATACAAAAGCAAGCACAAGACACAAACGAATTGACAGCAAAATGAAGTGAAATTACCACGGTGGTTATCACCATGCAATGCTTCAAGAGAATAATCAGCATTTCCCCGTCAATCATCATCAATACTTTCATCATCCTTCATGTACTTCTCTTGCACTGCTGCCACTGTAGATTGCTGAGTTAAGGGAATCTCATAATTATTGAAAACTGGTCAGGAAAAAAAAATGAGAAACGTGTGATGTCAAGATATATATATATATATATATATATATATATATATATATATATATATATATATATATATATATATATATATATATATATATATATATATATATATCACAAGCAAAAATGTTCAAAGGCTGGCCTTTTAACATTCCATTGAAAAACAAGGGCCAAGATGCCTGCCTACCTGAGCTGAGCATAGTTACTAATCTTATTATGAAGTTCAAAAGATGCTTAGACAGCAAATAATACACAATTTCATAGACAGCAAAAAGTATGTTTTTGATATAAAACTGATAAAAATGTGTGTAATGCTGAAATGCACTGTTTTAACTCCACAAATGGGGCGGCCTGCATTTCCTTGTTCCGTATAAAGCCGCCTTTTGTATCTCTAGATGTAGGCCATTACCCCATACACAACTTCAATTTTTTAGGATCTGCCATGGCCAAGAGCACTTTACATGGGCCTATCAAAATAATAAGACCAGAAGCACCCATTTCCCTGGGGAAGAACCTGTTTCTCTACTCAACCTGCCAAAAAGAATCCTCTATATTTCTTATATCATTCCTCTTGTACCCGTGTTCTTTTTTATTCTTTCAGTAAACTATAACATTAGTTACTAAACCACTTTAAAGGCTATTACTGGCTAACTAATTAAGGGTGTCAACGTAACATTATTCCACAAACAAGAACATTTCCCAGAGAGCTTTTACATAAATCCTTCAAGCTCCAATCAGTAGTTTCTGCCAACAAATGGAAAATAAATTTGGAGTTCATAATAGTGTAGAAGACATGTTTCCCAAAGGAAGGCAACTTTTGTGTTTATTAATACTATACCCTCATCTCTTTTGTTACTAGAGGACTTAAAAACAGTTTAAGAAGAGAATAAACAATCAAAGCAATAATCTATTCAGACAGATTAAAAGTGCAGAATGGAAATTCTGTTGATCAAATGCTGAGCAAATGATGTTATTTACTATAGTTACTAAACGCGAGGTACAAGATAAATTAGTCAGAATAATAAGATGAGAAGGGGAAAAAAGGATATCTATAATAATCCCAATCAGGAGCTCCCATAGCAATCTTGCTAAACTCAACTGCACTTGCATCTATGCCAGCAAATATGTACCCGTTGGTTTTGTCTATCAGCTTCACTAAATTCCCTACACTCTCTTTCTCCTGTAAAAGAAAAATATAACTTAGAATTCTACTGAACATTTGATATGAACAAATGAAAAACCTATGCAAATCTGGCATACCTGAATATCTAAGGTTGTAAAATGCACAAGGCTAAAGTGTTCAATGACGTCACACAATTCCTTTGTGAGCTTTCTGCAAATATAATACATAATTCTTCTAAAAAAACTTGCACAATAAAAATATTGTGTACATGCGATGTTTGGATATCATAAGATGAATGGAGCAGAGCGGAGTGGAATGGAGCAAAACGTAATGAAGATTCCATTCAATTGTTTGGAAATTTTAGGACGGGAATAGGCAAGTTCTTCATTCCACCCAGATAGGAGGGGGAAGAGATATGGTGGTATGTGATGGAATGGAATCCATACCACTCCATTCCGCTTCGCTCCATCCAATTTTAAATAATCCAAACGATGGAATACCATTCCATTCCATCCCATACCGCTCCATATGATTCCATCAATCCAAACAAAGCATTAAGGATGAAATAGATAACATGGCAGAATAATAACTTCCATTTGACCCATTTAAGCCAACTTCAACAACCATTTCTAACTCTTCACTTCAGTTTTAAGGTTACTATTAGAGCTAATCATATGGTGCAAAAGTGAGATAAGTCTTGCATCATGAACAAGTTAGATTTTCTTTCCGCCATTTCAATAAATCCTACAATTGGATCAAATGAGATATGATGGGATCTACTGATACAATGGTTAAAAACACACTTGTGCATGGTGCAAGACTATTCTACTTATTTATGCACATTACACAAAACATACTACTAGACAGCTAAACAAACAGGGTATTCAGTACATCAACAAAAACATAATTTCACATCAGGACAACTTTGACAGCGGTAGTACACTATAATCATTGCAAACAAGGAAAAGATAAAACAACTTTAACCGAATCAAGGAGTATTGCCATCTATTATCTATTCCATATTTTATAGTAGTGTCTCTTGTCAAGTATGAAGTGATTGACAGAAGCTTCAAAAGTCAAAATATGTGTCCTTGTCTGTTCTAGTTTCATGTTATATAGAATCTATTAATAAAATCAACTTCGCAACAATTTAATATGCTATGAAATGGCCAGCATAGACAAGACAGATAACAAAATACAACTTAGAAAGGTACATTTTAATAAAGGAAAATGTCTAAAAGTTCAAACAAATACAAAACACAACATTACTATGTCACTCTGAAACTTCAAAATCTAAAACTGCTACACTCAGAAGAATAGACAGTAGATACAGAATCTCCACACAACAAATCACACCTGTACTTAGCAGAGCAAGGATCTCTATCGAGATGGTGTTGCAAATACGACAAGTCTTGCACGTCTGTATAAAAGTCAAGGTTGAAGGCTGCAACAATCAAATGGTAAAATCAATGTACAAATTTGTCATCTAATAACCAACTTAAAAAGAAAATGCACTTAAGTTAACCACTGAAATCTAAATGTAATTACAGCACCTAGCTTTCCATAGCTCTCAATTAAATCAATTTTTGACAAGACATTTATGTGGGGGAGTTCTAGATGTAGCATTGTCGATAAGGTTAGAAGCAATGCACTGATGTACTTCCCAGGGTCACTGCAAAGATGGGCATCAACCAAATGCACCGCCGTTAACTGCATAGAATGAACATACAAATTAGTTCTTCTGGTAAGACACGGTTTAACTCTAACAAGACAGGAAGAAGAGAACTATACCTGTAAGTTTAATTTCTTTATGAGTTTCATGATGACATTCTTGGCATTTGAATGAAGAAAAAATAGTTCCACTTGGCCAGGAAAATCAAAGAGTAAATAATGATCTGAAACGTGAATAATATTGTTAGAACACTAGAGTAGTTTAGCTGAATAGGAAAAATAGTAGTTAGTGAGTGTATTTAAGGATGATTTATGATGTAAATCTACAAAATAGAGTATGATAATATAATCACCTTTCAGAAGTGGTTTCAGTTTTACTTCCAACCAGTCAATATTTTTCTCTAGATAATCCATACAGTATACAAGACCTGCTTATACAACACAAGTGAACCTTCAGAATATGCACAGTACGACACAAATACCTAATAAAAGGTAGTGTTGTCTTTTTTCAAAAGAAAATACGATTTGCATATTAGTAGCTTCTTATATTTCTCATATACTCTCTAAATAGTAAAACTTCAAAACTCCATCACCTATGAAACAGAGACACCAGATACACACCAGTAACACATACACCACGACGACGGCAACAAAATGGTATCGGTTAACTCACACCACCACGACGCCTCTAAATAGTAAAACTTCAAAACTCCATCACCTATTTCTTATGGTGAAAAAGAAATTGTCGTTAACTCACACCACGACGACCGCAATCAATATCACAACACTTGTGCCAACAGAACCCTCGAAAGCCTTTAAGCTATTGCAACGCGGCCGTTATTTAAACCTAACACACTTTCAAATCTAAAACGAGCCTACACTTCAAATATGCCCATCACCCAGTACTATTGGTTGCGAAATCAAAACGAGCAAAAAATTTACAATAAACAAAAACTCCAAACAATAAAGAAAGAAATAAACTTACCTCCATTGGGACCAAGAGAATGTTCTATCATGACATCACTAAGTTTCACAAGATCCTCAATGTTCACGGCACAGTCATATCTGTATTCAGTATTAGTGTAAATCATATATCAAATCATTCAACTATATACAACTAAAAAAACCTTATAAGAATAACAACAACGTCTGAAAGAGATAAAAAGAAGGATACGGTAATGAATCATTAGCTGGATCCAAGTTGACAATAGCAACCTTCCTGCAATTGGAAAGCAAAATACAAAGGCAAATTCAATACACAAATCAATAGAAATCACTACAGCACAGACAGCTCTGAAAAAATATGTGTCTTGTCGCCAACACTTGTGATAACATTAAATTTATTCATGTTTTCAAATTATTACCGGTGTCGAGCTGCCGGTGTTTGTATTGTGTTTCTAGTGTCAGTAGAAATTAAAAAACCCTAGATAACATATTCTAAAGAGTACAGGTTACCTTCCAATTAGATTGAGGAACTGAGACATGCCATTACAGTAAGTTGTTTTCCCAGAGCCAGGAGGACCAACTACTACTTGACCAAACACCATTTTTCTTCCTTCCCTTCAATCTTATGACGTTTTAATATAACTGTGAGATTAACCGTATACATTCTAAATTACACAAAAACTTGTTTGATTTTGTATTTTGAGGGAAAAAACAATAAGTTGGGGTTTTAGGGTTCTTGAGAGGGATTGGGGGAAAATTGAAGAGGGAGAGTGGGGACTAACCTACTGTTGAAGAGGTCGGAAGACGAAGTGAAAATGGTGAGTTAACTCCTTGCTCGTGAGGAAGAAGATGCTGAATTGACTCAGTAGAAAAGAAACAGCAAACTAGTGGCCTCTTGGAAGAAGAGCAATTGGTATGTGCCAATTGGTCGGTTAAGCTTATCTTCCGACCTAAAACTTAAATCCCAAGTAAATCACACTTTTAATTTTATGGCTCAATTTCAACCGATAAAATTTTAATTTTTGTTAGATTTGATTAAATTGGTTTAGCAGTGAAATTGAATTGATTTAATCGATTTAATATTTATTAAAACAAATTTATAAAAAATACTAAATTTTTAAAATAAAATTATTTTTTTATTATTAAAAGAAAAAATTATAATATTTTTAATATTATTTAACATTAATTTTAATCATTATCATTCTTTAAATCATAATTAAATAATACTTAAAATTTTATATTTCATGTCTTGTATTTTTGAAAGTACACAATATTATTATTAAATTATAAAAATGATAATTCCTGTAATATTATGAATCTCCTTTTTATAGTGAGTCAGTCCTATAGTAATAAAAATAAATAAAATACATATTAATTAAGTTCGGTTGGTTTCTGTTTCCTTTGAATCTAAAATAAACATCTGAGATCGACGGAAGCAACCTTATACTATTCAAATTAAGCAGCCAAATCAATCTGACACCTGACCCGATCCGATCCATTTGCACAAAAAAGATAATGGGTCAGCCGGTTTCAAGATTACAGAATTTAATTATATATTTCTCGGCTAAAATACTCAAGTTTATGTTTTTAATATAAATCGTTAAATATGTTTTTGTGAGGACAAAGCCTCAGATACTTGTTATGCGTGTGTCGCGGTGAAAATCGGATACCAAGCTATTGATTAGCTTGAATCTTAATTCATTACAACCGGTCTTTTATTTGTCCAAAGGAAGGGAAAAAGATCGAATTACCCACAATGCAATGCAAATGCAAAAGATAGATAGTTTAGGTTCGGGGGTTGGTTAAATTTAGGGAAGGTGCTAACATCCTAAGTTTTTGTAGTACTCTACAAGAACCTCTTGTTTTATGTTGTTTATTGCTAAGGGTTATCTGCTTAAAGGTATAAGACCTAGGGGTTTATTTCTAAGTATACTCGCCAAGATGTTGCATCTTGTGCCTACATATCCTGACGGGAATGGAATCAGAGTATCTGTAGTTCCCCTCACAGAGGGAGGTGAAGAACTTCTTGACTATGGTCAAGGTTCTAGGGGGGATAAGCGTTCATAGGGAAACACTTACTTGGAGTGCGGAGACTCCTATCTACGTTGTAGTTGAATTGAAAAGAGGTGAGCAAATATGTCCACGACGGGACGCCTAAACATGAGTACGGAGACTCGAATCCTAAGGCTGGGATAAAGGGGGGAATGTCCATGGAGGGACGCCTAAAAGGTGAGTACGGGAACTCAAATCTTAAGGCTTGGATGGGTGAGGGTAAAGGCATTGACACGGGGGTCAAATGGTTAAACATTTCCTTCAGAAACGGGTAAACGGTAATGGAAAAACAGTGATGATAATTAATTACAGCAAAGATGTAACACCCATTTTAATTATTTAGTCTTTCTGGTGTTATTTTATTTCGGCGTGTCTTTTGTGGAGATTATTTAAGAAACCATAGACTTTTATATTAATATAATATAATTGATAATGATAATAATTTAATAATTAATAGTAATATTATTATTATTATTATTATTATTATTATTATTACTATTATTTGTATTATTATTGTGGTTAAATGAATAAATAAGGAATAAGAGGTATATGTGGGGTATTAGTGAATTTTGGAAGGAAAGAAAGAACACGATCAAGTGGAAAGAAAGGTTGAGAAGGAAGAACAAGAGGAAGAGGAAGAAGGCCAAGGCTGTCGGATTCTTGGGGGTTCTTCATCAATCGAAGCAACTAACCGAGGTAAAGCGGGGAGAAACGGATTGGGATTGGTAATTGCATGAATTGGGTAGAGGGGATTCCTTAACCCCATAGGGATTTGATGAACATAATTGGTATGTTGTTGTGTTTCTGATTGTAGCTGTCATGGTGAACTTCTTGCATGTGGTTGTATAAGAATTGTTTGGATGGTTTGGGTGATTTTGTGTAGTTTACCGTTTTAGGTCGGAAATGATTTAATCGGTAGAATTAATGTTTTATCGGGTAAAGTCTGGAATAAGTCGTGTAGTTTAGTCGTAGAATGTTAGGCTAAGACTACAGGGACTGGTTTGGTGAGAATCAGATAATTTTCGAGCTTCTGATGAATTTCTGAACAGTGAGGGTTTTGTGAAATCGCAGACGTTCGCCAGCACCTTCGCTAGGCGAGCTAGTAGCGAGTATTCGCTAGGAATTTGCTAGGCGAGTTGGGTAGCGAATACTTCCAGTAGCCACTATCTGCCTTCACTAGCAGGTTCGCTGGGCGAATAAGGCAGCGAGCGTTCGTTGCGGCCTCGCTAAGCGAGTGGGCCAGCGAGCATGACAGCAAAATGTGATTTTGTGTTGTTTTGCTTTGTGATTCATTTTGTAGGATTCCTTGGGTTGTGATAGGAAGAGAGATGGTGTTTAGTGGTGAAGAGTGTATACCTGGTGTTGAAAGGTGAAATTATGAAATATTGAATTTAATTAATATAATTAATTGGTGGGTAAGACATATATATGTAATATATATATATATATATATATATATATATATATATATATATATATATATATATATATATATATATATATATATATATATATATATATATATATATATATATATATATATATATATATATATATATATATATATATATATATGATGCATAGTGAGGAGATCGGGAGGATCGTGTGTACTCGGTGTTCAAATGTAAATTTCTCTATTATTTAATTTGATTAACATAATTGATTGGTGTGTGTGTGTGCGCGCGTGTATATATATATATATATATATATATATATATATATATATATATATATATATATATATATATATATATATATATATATATATATATATATATATATATATATATATATATATATATATATATATATATATATATATATATATATATATATATATATATATATATATATATATATATATATATATATATATATATATATATATATATATATATATATATATATATATATATATATATATATATATATATATATATATATATATATATATATATATGATGTATGGTGATGTGATCAGGAGGATCGTGTGCACTTAGTGTGCTTGAGTTTGTGTGTTGTGCATTTGGTGTTGTGCATATCATTGTGTTTTGGTGGGATGAATCATGTCTCAGGAGGAGCGTAAGTGATTCATCCGTACTCCCTTGTGGAGAATGGTGGGGTTGAATCATGTCTCAGGAGGAGCGTAAGTGATTCACTTGTACTCCTTTGTGGAGAATGGTGGGATGAATCATGTCTCAGGAGGAGCACAAGTGATCCATCCGTACTCCTTTGTGGAGAATGGTGAGGATAGATCATGTCTCGGGAGGAGTGTAAGTGATCTATTTTGGGGTTCGATTGAATGAACCAATGAGTCGGTACCGCATGCATGGTGTTGAGTTGCATTCTTGCATTATTGTATGTTGTGTTTATGATTGGACAGTAGGTCGTGTTTGATGTTGGTGGGGGTGATGATTTGTTTATTTACTGCCTTTTATTCATGTATCTTATTACCGATAATTTTGATCATGTTTTCTCACCCCTTTGTTGTTGTTGTGGTTTGTGCTTCTTCGGAAGTACAGATAATCCAGGTACATAGTTAGCTTGGATAGTGGTGTGCAGGTCGAGTCTTAGGATGCTCTGATACGTAACACAGGACTTGGGTGTTTACTTTTATTATGATTGGATTGGTTGTATTCCTGTGACGTATTTTGTTTTGGTGAACCTTTTTAATGAATATTTTATGTAAATTGGCGGATGGTCGAGAATGATGTACTAATGATGATTTCCGCTGTTTAATTTGAAAACCATCTAATGAAGCGTTTTGTTGAATTTTGTGAATGTGATATCCCACTTTTGAAGGGAAACTTTGATATTTATTTGATTTAATTGTATTTTATTTTAATTTGGGAAGTGGGGTGTTACAAGTTGGTATCAGAGCAGGTCGTTTCATCCGGCCAGTGTAGTAGTTGAGTCTGTCCGTAGGATAGAGGTTGTGTACCTATTAACTTAGTGTTGTTTTGGTTGAGCAGTATGGCAGGGAGGAATGATGCCGCTTTGGCTGCTGCTATGCAAGCGATGGCGCAGGTGGTTGCTAATCAGAACCAAGCTGTGAGTGCGCAATTCAGAGATTTGGCACAGTTTCAGAGTAACAAGCCACCGATATTTGAAGGAGGATTTTTGGATCCTGAAGCTGCACAGAAATGGCTGAAGGCAATTGAGAAAATTTTCAGGACAATGGGTTGTAATGATGAGCAAAAGGTGAGGTTTGGTACTCACATGCTGGAAGGAAAAGTCGAGGCTTGGTGGGGCAACAGTCGCCAGAGGTTTGAGACTGCAAGAACTGCGATTACTTGGGATGTGGTTCGAACTGGTTTTCTAGAAAAGTATTTTCTGGAAGATATACGAAGTGCTAAGGAGATAGAGTTTCTGGAGCTGAAGCAGGGTAATTTGACTGTAGCAGAGTATGCTGCTAAATTTGAAGGGTTGGTACAGTATTGTCCTCATTACAATACTGAAGAGGCGATGACCTCCAAGTGTTTGAAGTTTGAAAACGGGTTGCGTCCGGAGATTAAGATGGGGATCGCTTGTCAGAAGATCAGGAATTATC